TATATCCCATTGTCACATGGCATTGCCAGGGACTACCTTGGTTGGTCTTAGAACTAAAGTCTTTGATGTGTATTGATGTCAACTGCACTGCTCTGGCAACCGGTGAACAGGTCGTATTTGGTTTTGATTTCATCGCCCATACGTCGCATGCGTTGTGTTGGCAGATGCGACACTGCAACTTCACCGAGCGAGGCCAGTTCTTCGGCGGGTGGAGGTTGGGATGGGCAGGTGAAGTTGCAGGTTTTCCATCGAATCCTGACAGGTTAGGGTCCTTGATATTGCATCAACCGTTTTTTTCTGACATGAGAAAAAGCCAGAGACATAAGAAGACATGATTTGTGGCAGGGACGACCTGTGATCCAAATTGTTGGACTCCCAGCTCTGGCTAACCTCCGAGGCTTTGTCTTGCGTGCACCTGGTAAGTGAGCGTTTCGATGCATCGAACTTCCGGCACACTTCGAAGCAGGCTATCATCCACGGCAAGATTTGCGCGCTGGAATGCCCAGGTAATCCAGGGAATTTAGATGGATGCCTTGGATACATGCCCATCCAAGTTCACGGACCGGAAATACATGACAGGGAACCACACATTTGAACTGTTTGGCCGTTTCACATTCGGCCGAATAGGTCCACCCACAGAACACCTGGGCTGGTGAACTACTCGTCTGCAATGCAAGCAGGTTTATATATACATGTGTGGATCGAGCTGAGATTCGGTCAGACCTGTTGTGTCTCTACGTAATTACCATGCCAGGGTTCACTCCCCTCCTACAACAGCCATGAATTCAATTGTTATGACGCACCATTCCCTTGGTGAGAGGCACATAATAACTTCCTATCTTCTATTTTTTTCAGCTTTTCACTTGGGGATGTAAACCTTAGTAGTAAGGACCAACAGACCATAAAAGGTTGCGGGCCTTTCGGCCCCGAAGCTACGTTTCACCTTGCTTCGTCCCACTTGGAGGTTCCCAACCCTTTGCTCCGTTCGTAGCGTCCTTGTTCTCCTAGGCCCGCATTGTCGCACGTGCCATGATGGTGCTTCATGTCCGTGGCGAGCTGCCGGACGAGGCTGTCCGTGGCGTCCGGGGCGTCGCATCCGAAGGCCAGGTCTGTGGGTTCAAGTGGGTCTCAAGAGGTTCGGTTCAGCGATTGTTCTGAGGACCCTCAGCGTAGAAAAGCAGATTAACAGAATCGGACACTATTCAATTTCAATTAAATAGATACTAGATATAGTTATATATATATATGTATGTATACTGTAATGATATTTGGGTTGGAGGAGGGCATACTTTACATGAGGGTATGAGAATCAATACTCTGGTTGATTACGGAGCTTTCTCCTCTCCGCAACCTGGCCCTTGGTAACAAGCCAACAGAAGGAACGCTCTGGGCGTTGGGCCATGAGGATTCCCAGCCTCTCAAGGGCAACTGCCTTGAGCTGATGATTCAGCGCACGGCCTGCCGTGGGGAGTCGGGAGTTCGCCAGTTCGCCGGCAGGATACTAGTAGGTTCTTGCTCCAAGGTAGCAAGAATGCTACTAGTTACTAGTATGGCCAGGAGCTACTAGTAGCTTCTTGCTCCTAGTAGCGATGCCCTTTGTTCCTAGCTTCTTGTTCCCCTAGATTGCAGCATATTTAGCCACTGCAGCTTCTCTTTCTCAAAGACAACGGCGAGGATGACGCAGACAGATTCCACAACTGCCAAGAGTGAATGAACATGAGTGTGAGCATCAGCAACAACGTTGTCCTCGAAGTCACCAATAGATACCACGATACAAATACAATCAACTAATCAACTCCATGATTTGCATTCCATGATCCAACAAGACACCAATCAGCTTCAGCCCATGGCCCTTGTTCAACGAATGATGATGTCAGCAAGATCGCAGCCGAATGGATCTCTCCATTGGCTTCAAGACAAAAACGATAAGCCCAGTGGCGCCCGCCGAGTTTGTGGCATCAACAAAGGTGCAAGAACAGCACGCCACAACATGACTGGCCCCCCCCAGAAGATTTCTGTGACACTTGCTTGCTGACCACCATGGCGCCGAGAGTTTCCCAGCGCCGCTGGCAGATGGCCTTCTTCGGTGAAGCCCTCAGCTTGAATCCCGTCATGCAAAAGCCATGGTAAAAAAGTATCAAAGATGAAGATTAATATCTTTCATCATGTTTCATCCAACCAATCTTTGTGCATCTATACGGTCAGACATAGTCCGACCTACAGCTATAGATGAGAACCTTACTGTGTACTGTGTAGAACCTTTTATGTTCATAAAGCTGCCTGCGAGCAGTTTCAGGAGAACTTTGTCGCTAACACCCAGGTCTTGCCCTAGGCAAATCCATTGCCTTTCTGTCGCCACGCATGCGCACCTTGGTGAAAAGAGCGTGTCTAAAATGAGGAAACTCCCCAACCAAGTGGATTTGAGTCTATGAGTCAATGCAAATTCCCGGAGGTCTTGAGGCTTCCAAATTTTGAGACAAGACCATGTAGTTGAGCCCTCGAAAGCGAACCCGAGCTTGCATAACGTGAACCTTGCCAGATACTTTGTTGCCAGGCCAGGTCACCTGGTAGGTCTGATCCGAGTTGAGCCTCAGTGCTGGCAATATCACCTATAGAGGTCTTAGGTGCAGTCTTTGTCTGATTCCAAGGTCACCAAGGTCCGCTGTATGAACCAGTGCTGCACTGCCCAAGGTCCAGCATTGTTGGCATCGGCCTTGGGCAACGTCGCCGCCGTCGCCAAGGTGTTGGGAAAGTGTCGCCAAGAACGTGTTGGGGTGGCGGTTGAGGTATTGCTTGTCCAGGAATCGATCATCACATGCAATGGAGGGTTCTCCGAGCTAAGGTTGGTACTAGGTCTAGGTTTACTCTGCGGAGGGATGCCTCACTCCTTTCATCATTGTTTGCAATATACACAAATACAAACATACGCGTCTACATGTACATGGATTTTTGTTGGAGGTGATTGATGGACTCACAAGCACCTTGCTCAAAAGAATGAGACCGTTGCGTTTGGGTTCATCTATTTTCATTCTTCTTGTATGTTTTGGCTCATCCCAAGATCTATATACCCATCAGTTTCCTCTCCCTGTTCTACCTGGTGACGGAAGTCCAGCTTTGCATGGAGGCGACCTCGGCAGGATTCCTCCTGCCTGAGACAAAACTGTGCCGTGGAGCAACAACCGGGAAATTCTGTGCAAGTGAATGCTCTTAGAATCAGGATTCGACATATTCTGCGATGACTTATGCACTGAAGAGTGGCGGTGAATGTCAGGAATTAGGCTAAAATCTGCAAAGCAATAATAGTGGGTGATAGGCCCCCCTCTGAATCATACCCGTAGACTCATGGGGGGGCCAGAGGTTATTTCCAAATAACCAGCTGTTGGATCTGGATCGAAGCAGAGACTGTGCGCTTAAGTCCCAAATTGCAATTCATTTTCCAGCCAAATCATATACTTAAACATTGTCCTCTAAAGCGGAGTTGGGTTGGGCAGGATGTTCGGAGGGACATGGGGGTGGACATGGGACATCACTCTTTGGGTCACGTAGGACTTGATAGCGATGGCCTCCAACCTAATAGCAAAAGGAACCTAATGCCTAATGGCGCAACAACAAAAAAGATATCCAGAGCGGAGCTAGTAGTAACAGGTGCCATGCTAGTAATAACAAGTGCCTTACTAGTAGTAACAAGAAGCTAGTAGTAGCGGTTCTCACACTTTTTGCAAAAGTCAGGCCCACCTGGACGCCTCCTTGGGCCTCGCTGCCAGCCATGGTGCAGTGCCTTGTTCTGTCGACTTCCGCTCAGATGGTTTCATCAAGCATCATCAAACCACATGGTCAAACTGATGACATAATCAAACATGGTCAAACTGACCACCGACGAGTCGTCGAGAAGATCACGCTGTTGCTTGTTGCCGGTGGTGTATCATCGTGTTCGTTCAGGTGTTGACCTATTGTCGGATTTGTTCTTGGTAGTAGCGTCTTGTTACTTGTGTTACTAGTAGCGTTGCCCTTGTGTTACTAGCAGTGATGCCCTTGTGATACTAGTAGCGATACCCTTGTGTTACTAGTAACGATGCCCTTGTGATACTAGTAGCGATACCCTTGTGTTACTAGTAACGATGCCCTTGTGTTACTAGTATAGCGATGCCCTTGTGTTACTGGTAGCGATGCCCTTGTGTTTCTAGTAGCGATGCCCTTGTTACTAGCAGCGACGCCCTTGTTTCTAGCAGCGATGCTAGTACCAATGCCCTTGTGCTACTAGCAGCGATGGCCTTGTGCTACTAGTAGCGATGCCCTTGTTGCTAGCAGCGATGCCCTTGTTACTAGCGAGCCTTGGAAGCGAGGAGGCCGTTCAATGAAAGTTTGTGGCAGGACACGAAAACATGACATTGGATAACTGCCCGGAAAAGATGCAGAAGGAGAACGCGGATGTCACTTACATCCTGCTTGCCGCAAGTGGCGGGTGCAAGCTCTTCACTCCTTAAACAGCGCTGGGAGGCTTCCGTGCCGTGATTTGGCCACGGATTATGACATTCCTACTTCAAACATCGACAATCGCGGACCTTCCCACCCATTCGGGACGAGTTGATGCTGATAAATATTGTGACGCGCTGCTTGGGGTATATGATCAATGTGGGCGAATCCAATGCCCTCTGACGATGGCATTCGAGGAGGGCCGGTGGAAGATCAGATGTGCAACAGAGCCGGGCGCGGCAGCATCTCGTTGAGCGCCATGCCCCGCGCAGGTGCAGTTCGAGTTTACTCCAGGAACTGCCCACTTGGCCTTGACATCTTACAGTCTCCATGACATCGTGAAGATCGCCATCGCGATCTCCAGGAACCAGCCATTCAGTGGCATCACTGTGCCACCTATACTGGGTTTCTGAAACTGTAGCCTTTTTTTGTTGTACCTCACCAGCCTTGACTTTCCGCACTTTCCTTCA